AATAGGCATTCAGGAAATAATCACTTGTATCAGTATTCGTTTAAACGAGTCGATGCATAGATTTCGGGAGGATGTAATTCAATATCCTGCGTGGCATTAGCCAGGGAAGTAGTTGTTTTCCTCCCGAAATCTACCATTGTTGTTCATATTTTTTATGAACACTGGGTGGAAATGACTGTGAGCTTTTCACTTTTATTTACTATTTCATTCCACTGTGAGCATTGTGGCTATTTCGTAGTTCATATTACGCCAGTCGGGCTGCCAGCCACTCCCGTATGGGAATTTCAGTTTTGGAGTGATTCTTTCCTCGGTTCTACTCAGATGGCGTTACTTTCATTCTATCGATGAAAGACGCCTCGGGGTGGATATAATGCCAACTTGATTTTTGTTTGGCTAGGCTTCGCTGAGTCAGCGGTCTTAGGACGGCTGGCTGGAGACTACACTGCACTGATGAGAGTCAAAGAGCTCGAAACCGGTCTGTGGTTGTCTAGCGGCCTGGCTTAATCGAAATCAATAGGCATTCAGGAAATAATCACTTGTATCAGTATTCGTTTAAACGAGTCGATGCATAGATTTCGGGAGGATGTAATTCAATATCCTGCGTGGCATTAGCCAGGGAAGTAGTTGTTTTTCTCCCGAAATCTACCATTGTTGTTCATATTTTTTATGAACACTGGGTGGAAATGACTGTGAGCTTTTCACTTTTATTTACTATTTCATTCCACTGTGAGCATTGTGGCTATTTCGTAGTTGGGATAGCTAATTTTGACAGTTTCAACTCAATACCAAATATTGATAATACGAATAATATCTTCGTTTGGGGTGAGAACGATAGTCAGACGCCGGAACTTGGCATGTTCAGGATTTAAAACCATATCATGGATCACTTACTGATGTCTCCACAATCCATAGTGATGAGGAATCTGCATGTGACGATTAGTAGGAATCATGATCATGAAGAGGTTACTGAACACTTCACGCAAGTGATTTGTACATACCATTGTAGATACAGGCTAAGGTAGATTGTAGGTTGAATTAAGCTTAGCCTCAATTCATAGATGATAGGAATTAGTAAATAGGTAAATTGAGCTCAATTTAATATCAAGAATTTTTTGTGTGTACATATAGATTCCGAGTATAAAAAATAGTCATGTTTCAATGCCTATTTATTATATCCGAGGAAGGGGGTGAATGTAACATGAAAATTTGCCTTTTCGTGTTCCATATTATGAATTCTGAAAATAGGTAATGAGGAAGCTTTGTAGAGATGCACTGCGTAACTCAATGATTTCTTTTCTAGGTTTTGAGGTACTTTACATTATTCCATCTTGTTAAATGTTCTCATTTTCAATGTCCATGACTGGATGACTGTTGGGTTATTTTAGTCCACTTCTTAACAATTCTTACACATTTGTCATATGCCCATGAATATTGTTGTTTCCATCATAGTCTCTTGCCAGCAGAAGACTGTTTGTCGCGTTTAGTGGCAGTGGCCTGTAATGATGCAGGGATATTTGCAATAAGGAATACGCATGATTTTTTGTTTAATCGAAATTATATTTCTTCTTCCTCATAATAACACTGGATATCATTCATTAATCTCAAATTTGCTTGTGACTCTAACAAATTTCATTTAAATGTGGCTAAATATGAAGTCACAGAAAAACGGGTTAGTGGCCATCACTAATATTATGACGTCATAGTATTAGGCCGCACAGCCATAGACTAGCGCGACAGAATGATAAGATTCAGATTGAAAAAAAAAGAAGAAGAAGAGGTAGGAGAAGAAAACAGTTTTAAACGCCAGAAATTTGAAGTTTGAAAATGATAATGTTTATACCAAATATTGTTTGCCGCAATGCCTTTCATCAACAAAAGTATCACCAGGAAAAATATTCCTTTCATTGCCAGTGGGATCGAGTGATAAAAATAAAGAGAAAAGAAAATTATGGTTGCAAAACAAAAATAAAAATGATTTATCCAAGAAAACCAGATGATTTGTTTGTGAAGACAATTTCGAAGTGAGTATACGTTCAAGTATGTCCTAGTGAAACCCATTATATATCAATGATTATATGTTCCTCATGTTATTAGGAGAATAATATAATATGTGATTTCGTTTTCAGCTTGAAGAAGATATGGAAAACTATATGAGATATAAATTGATAGGTGGTAATATATATTTGAAACAACATGCAAAAAGAAGTCCTGTTTGATCATTCTTTGTAGAAATTTGCTTATTATTCAGAATATTGAGATCATATAATTGAGATAGATTATAGAAACTACAAGCTCAGATAATCATAACCTCACTTTCTCTTCTCATATTATTTTCAATCTTTCGGACGTGAATGTTTGACATGACAAATAAAAACAGCCACATCCAGTCGGAAATCATCGCTGCAGTTCGGCTGTTGGTCGGAAAGTTGCAAATATTATGATTTTCAATCAGAAATCATCAAATATTCGGTGCTTAATAATGTTTTTCGGATGTATAATTCGACATCTATGCATATGAGTAATGGAACAAAAATATATTCCAGTGTAAAATTTTCACACGCGTATACCCTATTATGTATCGACTATCGTATTGACTATCGTATCGACTATCGATGTCATGATCGATATTTAATATTTCTTTCAAGTTGCCTCCCTGAATCTGACTTGAATCATATTATTTGGGTGGCTAGATTGACACTGTGCAGAGACGGAATTTGGTTTGTATTATTTTTTTGCAATAGATCAAAAGTGCTCTGATTGACGGAAACTTGTTATTTGAGTAATTTCCGTTTATTCATCCTTCTTGCTGATTCCTTCTCTTGCGAAAAGGTTTCATGTGTTGAAGCAAAATGAAGCCCTTTTTGATTTTGGCTCTCGTGAGATCAGGTCAGGTGGTGGACACCTACTTTTGTGTTAGGCCTTTCCGATAGGAAAGTGAGAAATATTAAATCTCATTTTGTGTGAATGATATTCGATGGGGTATCTACATTTCAGATATCACGGCCTTATACAGGGGAGTACGGGGTACAGATGTGGAAGATATAAACTCCATTTTCTGTTGACCACATGGCATGTTTCTGGACTTGAATTTTATCAATCAACACTGTTAACTGGATGGATCACTAAATATCGAATCTCATCAACTATGGGCATTTAGAAATCTTGAACTGTTTTCTGGACTTCACTGTTTGGACATCACGTGGACACTTTTTTCGATGGTTGAGGCACCTGAGGGATCTTCGTGCTTTGAAGCCTGAGTCACCAACACACTTGAAGGTGGAAGCAAGACCCTGGTCATTCCTTGTGTATGTCTCTGGGCATCTATAGGACCCGACAGCCTGGAATTTCTGGCAGAATCCTTGCTGCCAACAGTGCAAGTCCCTAGTAGCCTTCTGGTTCAGATAGCCAGTGATCCTGACTTCTGACAGGAAGTCCAGGGGAGTCCAGACTCCCGGTATGTTTGATGATCCTGCATCCCTAGGATTTTGCTACTTTGGAGCCTGAACTCCCAGAGCCCAGTCAGATAGTGAGACGTCCTGGTCCAGCTTGGATGGTAGGAAGAGCTTGCCCTGGTGGCAGCCTGTGGACCCGTCAGCCAGAGTTGCAGTGCAGAATCCAGTTGCCCTGGGATAAACCAAGTGCCCAGGTTTCCAGGTGGTTGTGACTCCTGTCAACTGTGTGGGGATCCAGTTTTCCTAGCACACCTAACCCCTAACGCCGACTGAGGGAGGAGTGTCTTTGTTCATCCAGGTAGTGAGATCTAGTGGACCACAGTTGGAATCTCATGGTTCAAAATCCAGAACTTGCAGCTAAGGTCAGAATTTTCCATATATATATTTTTTCCCTGTCTTGAGGACATTTCACTTGCATATTTTTTCCTTGTCTGAGGACATTTAACATGTACTTTTTTTCCTGTCTTGAAGATATTTAACGTACATATTTTTTCCCTGTCTTGAAGACATTTAACATATCATATTTTTTTCACTGTCTGAGGACATTTGAATAGTTATTTTTCACTGTCGAATGTCATGAGATATTTGAACACTTGTCAATAACACATAACAGTCTAAGATCGGATTTTATATATAATAGAATTATTGGGTCTGTTAGAGACTCTGTGAACCCAAAGTATAGGCCTATATGAAGGGAAATCTCCCCTTGTACTGAGTTACAATCATAGTACATATTTACCACCATTTTGAATACCTATTGTTGACATGTTAAGGTGAATAAATCTGTTAACAGTTATTTTGGCTTATATTTATGTCTTGGATTTTTTTCTCAGTAATTCTGCTGTGAAAACTGAGTGGCGCCTGACAAAAGGATAACCCCACTAGTAGATAATAAAAAGAACTAACTCACGACCTGCTCCCAAACAAACGAGCTGCCGTGCCTATATCAAATCAAAATCTTTATCTTTCCCAAAATATCAAAAGAGTTGTTATACTACTCCCTCTCGCCGTGCCTTTCACTCAACACCTGATTCTTCGTCCACTTTTCAAGACAGTTCTCACCCTTGTTCATCTAGAAATCGTCGTCTGCCAGTGAAATTGAAGGACTATGAGATGAATTATTAATTGGAGGAAGAATGTGGTGATATTTGATAATCATCTGATCTGTTATTAGTTTATGTTATTTCGACATTTTGACGTCTTATTATTTGTAATACTCTCACATAAGTTTTATGATGAATAAAGCCTTCATTCCCTAGAAAGCTTCATCACTACAATCTGAAGGTATTAATCAAATTTGAAAGAATGCTCTGATGGAAATAACATTCGACAGCTGCAAGTGTTCTGTTCAAAAATATTCCCTTCAAATTTCAAAGAGTTTATCTCTGGATATTCATTTATTTTCTAAAAAATGTGGCGAATCGATATGTTCAAGAAGATTTTTCTGGAATCAAAAGTTTGGTTAAAAATTAATATATTGAGTAATTTACGAAAGCACTATAATAGGGGTTAGCCTCTCAGATGGCTAACCCTATTTTACCTACATACCCCATGTTCCTGACTTTCTTCCTCAGCTCACACATCAAATCGTCGAGGGGCGAGATCGAGTTGGGGAACTTCTTCTCAAATTTCGACACCTCTTTGTTGACGTCCTGTCGCATTTTTTTATTCGCCTCTCCAAGGACGAAAGGCTTCACCGAATCAAAAACAAAAGTTCCGACTGAATTCATGACACCTAAGACAAAGAAAGGGTTGAAATGAAATTTCCTGTTTCTCAGTAAAGATTAATTATTAAAAATATAGCAATAATAAACACATGCTGATAGAATAAACATGAATGATCAGAGGTAAGGAAATCTTGGTCTCATCATCAAATGATGAAATTATTAGTAACTTGTGTATATTTTTCATTTTCAACATTAGTCTTGAGAGATAGTCGCTTTCAACACTGATGGTGTCTTAAAATTGCATTTTCAATGAACACATCAGATGTTGAAAGGCCACCTCTTGATTTGTAGAAATAGTTATTTATGTATCAAGGGCGTAAAATAGGCTTTTATGGACCGTAGCATGTAAGTAAGAGCCCGAGCGACAGCGTCTTCAAGACGTACATTTAAGGTTTCAGAGACGTCTTCATTAGGTCTTTTTGGTCCATGTCCATAAATAATTGATCTTTAGAATTACGGAGGAATCACATATTTTCCATTGATTTTCACGTGTATACTGAAGATGGCAGCTAGTGCAGCCAAACAAAAAGAAACAATGAAAAAAGGACCCCAGAAACCGATAGACTCAAGCGGTCTCAATGCAAGTACTAATAAGCTTTCATTTAGTTTCACATGTCCTGGTGTCTGTTTGTGATCAAAACTCGCAAATTAAATTTGCCCTACTTCCAATCGTACGATTGATTTGCAATTCAGCAAGTGAATATAATTCCGGTGACGATTCGTGGTAACTTTTTTATTGAATGAGAAAAACAAAATGACGGATCCAATATGGCGGACGGTTTTCATGATAATGGTCCAATTCGAATTAGAATTGGTATCTAGGAGTTTTCGGGATTAGTGATTATGATTCTATTGTCGAAATTGGAAATTTCAAGATAGCGATTCCAATATGGCAGAGACTATATTCTTCTGATTATGGTTTCAGGTTAAGAAAACGGAAAATTCAAGATGGCGGCTTCAAAATGGCTGACGAGTTTCGTGATTATATTCTGATATCATTGAAAATTGGTAATTGGGGTTTTTGGAGTCGGAGATTATGATTTTTTTCAAAAATTCAAGAATCTTACACGAAGGCTTCAAAATGACGGACGGAAAAACATTAAGAAACATCACTTGTATATCGAAGACTAGAACCTTTGGCACGATAATACACTACACACTGTGTAGTGTAACATCACTTGTAGATGATAAAAAACTGATAAGTTGAAAATGAAAAACGTGGAGAGATGGACTTCAAAGTTTTTTTTGTCTTCAGAAAAGAACTTAGTGTATTGTACTCGAATGTACATCTTCAAGACGTCTTTCATACGTCCTGAGAGGAATTACGTGAATCAGACCTAAAAATGCGTCTTTGAGATGTACAGAGTTAGAAGTCTTTCATACATCTTTGGACGTAAAGACGTAGGTCGGACGTAAAATGTATGTCTTCAAGACATCTGATGATGATTGGCCTACTATTACGAGTTACCTATACGCCGGGCCGTAAAGGTTCACGAGCGGTAAAGTACCACTTCACGCCCGCAAAACCAGGCGGTAAAGTGCCACTTTACGCCTGGTCGTGCATAAACGTGAATAAAGCCCAGCCATAAGTGCATTACCTTGAAACATACTGGCGAAAAATCCTAACCCGCGGAAATCCATCGCGATCTCCTTGAACTTGATGTCCATGTCCATCTCCTGCGCGTCGAGCACGCCATTGCGCTCGACCTTGAGCGCGGCCGTGGCCGTGACCTCGACCTTGGTCAGCTTTATGCTGAACGGACCCTTGGCCGAGGATATCCACGTGCTGAGGGTGTAGTTGCCCGTCACGTCGAGATGGTCGATGGACAATGTCGCCCTTAGTTTCATGTTCGGGATGTCCGCTTCGATGTGTTCGATGCGGAATTTTTTCAGGCCGTATAGTTTCACCTTGAAATTGGGGAAAAGAATGCAATCATTAAAATACTTCGAAAGCCTGTCCGTTTGAAAGGAAAATGTTTATTATAATCCCTGTGAACTATTTAGCTGGTTATTTCCGAAGCCACATCATACTTTTCATTAGTTTGATATATTCTTGGGTAATCGCCACTTTTCGGTGATTTAAGGGTACGTGGGCCCTTATAAAATATGAACCCGACCCTTGAATGACCATTTCATAAGAATTTCAAAATTTTTATACTTTTTTATAAAAACACAATTTTACATTAACAATCATGGAGCAGTTGCCTTTGTTTGCTCTGTTATTGTCCACGTTATTTGAATTTCAACTTTATCACTTCCATAACTTTGAACTATTTTATCGGCTGATGATGGGCTTATATAAGCCCGAAACATGTACCATTGATGATCTTTGATCATTTCAATAAAAATTGTGGAGATGACTTTGGGTTTTTCATCTATGAACTACACCACTCCACTTCGAGTTACCATGGACTTCTCCCAAAGATCATATCATATTTGTTTTCCAGAAACGGTTATAGAATTTTTGGAATTGTCACATCCAATATATTTTCTTTCATTTTGATGTTTCATGCACCTGAGCAGCCCAGTGTATGTTGCACTTGAGCTACTTTCGAATTGAACGCATTTTAGTGAACAGAAAATATTGTCATAGCACGGGACAAAGGTATGGCTACAGTTGTAGTACTCATTGATATGTCTGAAGCATTAGATACTGTTAACTTCGAACTGTTACTGTCCAAACTGCAATACTACGGAATTGAATATGAGACACAGAAATTGTTCACTAATTACTAGGACCAGTACTGTTCGATATATATTCACAGCAGATCTGCCAAATCATGTTCGAGAGTTGATCATACATTATATGTATGCTGATGAAGTACAATATTCATTCAGTTTTGCACAAAACAAAATTGGATATGTTTTCAATACTATAAACACTGAAGTTGATTCTATTGTAGATTGGTGTGACAATAATGGTTTATCAGTTAACCCTACAAAAACTCAAGTCATTGTTTTTGGATCAAAAAATGCTATATCAGTAGTGAAAGAAACTGGTAACGTTGCTATCAAAAATGTGATTGTGCCCTATTCGACGTGTATTAATAACTTGGGATTACGAATGGATGAACAGTTATCTTTCAATGAACACATAAGACTTCAATTTCAATGTGGCTTCATGAAACTGAAGCATCTTCATTAAATCAGAAATGTCCTATCGACTAGAGTGACTCTTTGGTGTTATCCCTGTTCAATTACTGTTACTGTGTCTATGCCCCATTTCTGACAGAAATTACCAAATTCAAAAGGTACAAAATGCATGTATTCGATTCTGTTCCAATCTGCGACGTAGAGGAAGTACTAGTGGAATTATTAACAATATTGGGTGGATGAGGATGAATGAAAGAAGGCAATTCTACATTTCATCTTTCATATCCAATGTTTTCAAAACCTGGATATCTATACAAGAAGGTCACATTCAGAAACGAAATACATGATAGAGATAATCGCTATCAAATGCAAAACTCAGGAATGAAATCACTAGATTGTGAGCTTTCAAAAGAAATGTCAAATCATATAACTGTGATATAAATTTAGGACATTACTGATGGTTTACATATGCACTATTGAAGTACAGAAAACCCATCCAATCATTGAAAAACTCCAAAAGCCTGTCCGTGTGACAAAAATAATTGTTTTTCAGAAATGGTTTTAGAATTGTCGGAATTGTCACACCCATTATTGTACAGGGTAATCAGCGTTCTTTACACTGAACGCGAAGTATATTACTTCGTAGCCGTTGCCCATAGCAACGGTGGCCAAACCAAACGTCACTCCTGAATTTGACATCCATAAACTACGACAATAGCGAGGTTATACGAGAGATGAGAACCAAAACCATGTTCCATAGCAGCCTAGCTAAAACCTTGTAAAATCGATAGATTAGATGACCCTAGAGCCACCTGGTGATTGAGTAACTCTCAGAAGTGTAGCATCTTCGCGGAGGGCCATTTTTGATATGTAAAAAGGGTCGAATGAAGTATAACAGACCTCCTCATATGAAAAATGTACATAGATTTTGTTATTTTATCACTAAAATTTGTGTTTTCAGACATTTTGTGCGTAACTTCTGACCTGGTTTTTAATGTCACAGATCAACAAATCAATCTGTTGTTATGTTGTTCTGAAATTAATCATAAACAAAGTCCAGTGCGTTCCAGAGCACTATATCGGACAGTGCGCTCTGTGCTCCGAAACACTGTATGGTACTTTGAAATGTGGGTACAAGTATACTAACTTTCTTGAAGTTCATCCTTCCAACGGAAAAGGAATGTTTCAGATCCGGAATGTCCATGGGATCCGGGATAGGGACTCCCGGAAACCCTACGGGATCCGGCTGCTTGTAATGCTCCAGTATCTTCATGATGGTCTCGCTCAACTTTTTCTCCTCTTTCTCCAACCCATCATTGACATCGTCACCAGCAACTTGCGGTGGAGTAACTATGGAATCAACGATAACAGGTTTTTGTGACAGAAGAATTACCCAATAAATTAAGTATTATTGATTCATATGGATGGCTTATTTATAATAAACAAAAATATTGTGTGGTGGTTTCGTTCGATATACTTTCAATAGAATTTTATGAATTTGACACTGATATTACACATTAGGGTAGCGAAAGAACACCGAGGAAAATTTAAAGGTAGTGACACGAGTTTATAGTCAGAATATTTTTTCGCCTCATACCAACCCTAAAAATGTGACCGGAAGCAATGTATATCGTCCGTTGGTTGGTCTCATATACAGGGTGTTATTTAATTATGTGGCCAAACTTGTAGGGGTGATTATTTGATTGATTCTAAGACCGCGAGGGCGGATCCAGGAGCTTAGTAGGGGTCATGGGGGTCATGACCGCTCCCCCCCCCCCCGCGGACTATATTACTCAATAACCTCAATGAGTATTATTCTGAGATGTTGAGAGTAGTAGGACTAAGCCGTTTCTGATTCAAAGCCGCAAGTAACACTCCCTAGGTGGCGCTGTAGATGTGGCGATAGTTTTAACTTCTTGATGTTTGTATTTATAATATGTATTATTCGTATGGTGACGTCATTTTTGCCAATATATATTCCGAACCATTTGTATAAAATATCAACGTTGCGAAGACTGCAATTGTAGGATTCCCGACGGAGGTGGTGCATACAGGATGTGATGGTGTGGTTGTGATCGAAAGTTGGTACATCGTACCAGGAATCGTCGAATCGCTCCAAGTTCACAACTCTCGCATGTACATTGAATGTTGCTAGTTTATCGTCCAGAAAGTCCTTCTTTTGATGTCCTCGCACATGAATGATGTCAATGTCGCTCAGTTTCTCCCGAAGAATATCATCCAGTAGATTGTATGCCACGAAGCCGGAAGAATATCTAAGCCCATGAATGTTTCTCTCCAAGAAAAATACACCACATCGGTCTTCTTCGCTGAGAGATGAAAAGGATTTGTATGGAAGTAGCAGATAGTTACTACATTGCACTCCGATTTTTATGGCAATCTCCTTGGGACGGAATTCTTGCTCGATAATGAACCCCTGGATGTCTATAAAAGCTACTCTCATGATGCTGGTCGAACTCAAACTGAGTGGAAAACTGAGAATCAATTCCACTTTTTGATAATTTCACTGAGTGGGAGGTGCTCAATGATGTTATCGTGAACGATGATACAATAGGCTCGAGTGTTGGCGGGAAATCCTTGGGATGCCTCAATCTCAAGTTTGACATCGACAGTGGAACTTTTGACACTTTCATCTCTTCGCGAACAATCGATAACGAAAAGAGGTTGTTTATTGGCAAACTCTGGGTAACCCAGGAGTGGAGTGTGTAGCGAGGTGTTTTTATAGCTGTATCCAAATTGCGTATAGTTGAAGTACGCCTGTGGAAAGGCTCCTTTATCGAAGGCCAGCTGCATCTTTTCCTTTGGATAACTTTTCCCATTCAGAGTTAATGTGATATTCGTTATGTTTGCGTGATTGAATATCGTAGGATCAGTATTGACTTTAGTCAGATCATGACCTGTTTGAAAGCAAACAATGACATATCGAGGGCTTTCGAGAAACGAAGAAGTTTTGACCGCCCATATTTCATTGGTGGCGCCTGTCGTGAGAGAAGGCAACATATGTAATTCCCATTTTTTGAAGGGTATTAGAATGGGGGTGTCGGCTTTGATTGCCTTCAAGAGTTGTAGTTTGATTTGATCGTTTGGAAATAATCTTTTCACTTTGAGTTCCACATTTTCGATTTCCAGTTGTACTTTTGTGGGCACAACAGCTGCGCCGACAGCAGTTTCGGTGATTCTGAAGCAGTTATTATCGTTTCCAGCTCGCACCAAACGAATAGAATGTTTACCATAGGAGACGCACTCATAACCGTTGAAAATATTCAGCAGATGCTTCAATGGAATAAACATACTGAATGCTAAACTTGTCGCATTTATGACATCAACGTTATTGGGGTAGGTCCAACCTGCTATAGCCAATTGTTTCGTATCTTCAGCACTGTAGCACAAATAACCTCTAACGGTGCTAACAGTTCCAACATCGCGCACTGCTTCCAATTCCTTGCCATTCTGATCATAACTGATGGATTGAAACATGTAGGCACCAGCATTATTGACAAAAGCTACATGTCCAGCACCTTCAGTTCTCGTTACTTTTCCTCTAATGTGCAAAATACTTTCATAGAGAGCATCGAAAGCATCAGACTGATTAATGTTGATTTCTATGACATCATTATTGCGGAACGACTTGACGTAAGGGTAGTATGTTCTCCATTCGACCTTTTGTATGGATTCGTCGACGTGAGGCTTTCGGAATATGTTGAACACTTGAGAGGATAACATGATAGCCGAGTGACTTGAGAAATGCTATATTCCGCGTACTGAGTGGGCGGCGGGCAATGTGGTTGATGAATGTCTTCTTGAAGACTGAAGGAGCAGGAACGGAGGTGCGACTCTTATAAACACTCAGGACCATAATTTTTTCAGTTCCAATCGAATGATGACTTCTTCGTTTCGGAAATTGACCAGTTGAAAGTTTTGATCGAGCACTCTGAGCGTGATGTTGTAGATTTCGTTTGTATGGGCAGCGATGGGTAAATAAATGAGGTGATTCGGTGTTTCGTCGATAGCGTAACCAGGGTCAGCATCGATGGCAAATTCGTAGATCGTGTGAGATGGTCTGTCGTTGTAGAAGGCCCCTGAGGTAATGTTGCTATCGACATGTATTGTTCGAACTTTTATAATACTCACAGGCTGATCTGACACATGATGAATGTCATTTTCCAAGATCCTCGACGAAAACCCCAATATGTTGGCCAAACTATTGTTCTGAGTGAAATCGATTACATGATGTTTGCAGAAAATTTCACTCTTCAAAGTATTATTATTCGGTTTGAGATAGAAAAGATCTTCAGGCTTCTGCGATGGGGATAATGACATCATATTTTTCGATGCAGGTGGTGGTTCAAGATGTTTTCTGATCAGCTTTTCAATATCTTCAATTTCGTAAGCTCCAGTAGGAATATCGATACTTTTTCTCCGTTTTTTGTCACCGTTTTCAAAATAATAGAACTTTGTACCTTCCTTGATGTTGGGTACGCTGTTGTACGAATGGAAACTGAGTAGAGCTAAGCCATATTCAGAATCGAGATCCAATGGAATTGGAGGTGAAAAATCGATAGAGAGCGTCGAAGAACGACTCTTCAATGTCAATATCAAAGACATGACTGATGGATCAGTGTAGAGGTATGTATAATTTAAATAGTTTGGTTTTCATTTTCATCATTTTAATTTCGAATTCAATAGAAATGCTAAACATAAATGGCCGCAATTGATCTGATTGTATTTCTGATATACATCATTATTACAGAATATCTGCACGTTGTTTCCGAAATATTCGGCAAATTCCTTCGGCGGTTTCAGACAACCATACGAATCGAAATAATGAACAATATCCCCATGTTTTTTATAAGCTACCCAATGGGTACCAGGATTGATGGAGGAATCTAAATTCATGACTGCACACTCACGACGTCGCCATGGGTGGGTAGGTGGCGTGTCTCGCATGAAAACTCCTCGAAAATATGGTATTTTGAGTTGTTTAGCGTATTTTACAATCTTTCCATCATATAATGCTCTATTGGGTAGCTTGGATATCAGTTTTTTTGTTTCTTCAAGAATAATCCAGCTCCACAGCTGCCACCTCCGCCGCCGCGACCACCACCCCCTCTCTTTTTCAAATACAGTCCATATCCTTTACGTGTTTTACGTAGATACACACCGGAACCCAGATGCTCCATAGCTTGATTGTGACGTTTATCCTCTTCCAATTTTTTCCTCGCATTCTTGGTATCGATTACTGTCTTTGCGATAGCGCTTGCTCCCCCAGCCAACGATCCTAAAGCCGATAGGCCTGCAAATAGTGGTATCAATGGTAGGAATCCACCACTTTTTCCTGTGGCAGGCAGTTGTATTATTCTGGGAATTCGAATTTTTTTACGACCTCCAACTTTTTTTATTGCCTTATGGGCTGCACGCAAAGCTGCTGCAGATGATCTACTTAAACCACTACCTTGATGACTACCACCGTCAGCGTTGCTGTCAAAAGTTTTTTTCAGAGCATTCAGCACATTTTTCACGATTTTGGAGAATGGGTGCTGCTGCTGCTTCGACACCCCCATGCCAAGTTTTCGTTTTGTCTTCATACCGGTGGTGACGAGCCAAGCAGCAGCTTTTTCACCAATTTTCGCGTCTTTCGATTTGACACGTCCCCAAGCTTTATTTTCCAGCACTCGATCGGCCTTATGACGTTCTTCCAAAGTGTTGTTCTGAGAGTAGGCTATATCGTGCTCTTTACAGGCTTCGTCCAAGGGGTTTATGCCTATATCTCCACGTTCTAGTCGTTCTTGTAATTTGGTTCCTGGACCGCAATACGAATAACCAGGAAGATGTAATTCGAATGGTAGTTTATTGATGAGTGTATTGACTATACCTTCACCGCGGTAGATCAACATTAAGAATGAGCACTGATGTTGAAATTCACCTCCATTTATAAAAGCCCTCAATGCTCTGTGAATTGTCACACATCATGAGAGTCGTTCAACAGAAAAAGACGCTACCAATCGAAAACTTGGACTACTTGAATGACAGCAGTAGCGGAATCGATCGAGTCAAACATGGTGTCCTGTTACCGCACTCATTTCGCGCCATTATTTGTGGTCCAAGTGGATGTGGAAAAACGAATGCTGCACTGTCATTGTTGTTCCACCCCAATGGCGCCAAATTCGAAAACGTATACGTGTACTCAAAGTCACTGTACCAACCCAAATACCAGTTGCTTGAAAAGATACTGAGAATGGTCAAAGGTGTTGGATATTTTCCATTTAAAGCTAATGAGGAAATTATGGGTCCCAATGAAGCCAAACCAAATTCCATTTTTATTTTCGATGACA